CATCCGGTCCCTCATTGGGACCCTGCTTTGGTGGATCTAGGAAGTAAGGGCAACTGAGGCTTAAGCCAAGAGAGCAGATGTCCATGAGGTAATATTATCTGGATTCATTCAACTCCCAAGCCACAGGCTTGTGTTTTTAACTGTCTTCCTGTATCCATACATAAAGCAATTGCTCTGAAATAACCATGCAAAGGACAGTAAGGAGAAGAGAAAGACAATATTTACAAGTCAGAGTCTGATCAGGAGACAAAGGTAATTGACAGGTTGAGGGAGCAATCAACAAACACAGGTTCCCAGCGGCCAGGGAGGGAGGGCAAACCAATGTTATCCTACAGTAAACCATTTATTTTTCCTTTTTAAGTTAAAATAAAAATTTGATTGCCACATCTCACATAAAGTGCCCATCTTACAGGGCAATAAATTTTAAACACATATCAAATCTCTGGAGAGATAATACAAGAGTTAAGGCACCAAGACTAATTCCTGAGCATGAAGCCAGAAGTTAGCCCTGAGCATCAAATTTCAATCAGATCTCAATTTATGTATCCTGGGAATAAAAGCAGCAATGGTATTTATACATTTACTAGGTTTCTTTTTCTACAAATGTCTATACAGTATAGTCCATGAAAACCAAGATTTCCTGTTTCACACAAAAATCCATGCACTGCTTTGAATCACATAATTCAGTGAGCTTGGTCAGTTGCCTCACTAGTAAAGTACCAAGAATCAACTTGGATTCTGTCAGGAGTGAAAACATCAAAAGAATTCTGTCTGATCTCTGAGAAAAAAACAAAAATGGTAATTATACCTGGTATTCGGTATTTATTTCCACAAAAGTTTGACACGTACAACATAAATCCAATTCTCCACAGGAATAGACTGAAGCTGCCAAGCTTTCTACCGTCAAAAAATACACCCATGAAGCTTAGCTTTTCAAAGTGTAGTTTATAACCACCTGGCAGTAATAAACTTGTGCCTGGAAATGAGACAACCCATAGCATACTTTTGGCACCAGAGAGGGAGGTGAGTTTTACAAGTATGTGTACACATGCACTCATTAACTATAAGGGACTTTTGTAACTGGCAATCCAAAATAAACTCATCTTAAGGATGATGTGTTTTTTTCCTATTTCTACTTTTCATAGTTTCTCTTTTTTTAATACTGGGAAAAAATTAATGTAAAAACTTTTTAAAAATTCCATACCTAAAACCCAACCATCAATAACTTTGTAAATCACGGTTCTGTAACTTAACAAAAGAAATTAAAAATACTTTAAAACACTTTACAAGGTTCTTTAGTTCATCCTAATGGAAATACTTATTGAAAATTACTTTTTATTAAAAGCATTTTTTCCTCTGGCTTCACTAATTCCAGTAGCCAAACTGATTTGTAAAACCACAATTTTTCAGCTGTGAAAAGTTTTATTATTCTACCCTTCTATGTTAAAGTCACTGTCACTGTCACTGTCCTCCCTTTGTTCATTGATTTGCTGGAGCGGGCCCAGTAACGTCTCCATTGGAGACTTTGTTGTTACTGTGTTTGGCATATTGAATACATCACGGGTAGCTTGCCAGACTCTGCCATGCGGGCGAGATACTCTTGGTAGCTTGCCGGGCTCTCTGAGAGGGGCAGAGGAATCGAACTCGGGTTGGCCATGTTGGCTGCGCGCAAGGCAAACGCCCTACCACTGTGCTATAATCTCCTCTTTCTGCTAACTCCAAGCATTTCCAAACATGTGCCTTAAAGCCATCTTATTTCATGAGTTTTTGTCCACTTTTAACTGTGCCTGACTCTCCCTTAGTATCAAATTAAAGGACTGTGTGACAAAAATTATCTTACCTCCTACTAATGGATATATAAAGAAAACCTGTACCAAAAAGAAGCCTATTTCCATGCAAATCTTAATTTCCTTTTACATCTCTCCCTACCCAACTTCTTTTTCTTTTTGGACTTTGGGACATACCTGGCAGTGCTCAGGGATTACTCCTGGCAGGGCTGAGAGGGCCATTCCCAGAATTGTTGAGTATTGAATCCAGGTCAGCTGCATGCTAGGCAAGCACCCTACTCACTATTGAGTATTGCTCTGGCCCCCTATTCAACTTATTCATGCAAACTACATAAGCACAAAGCCTAAGTACTACAGATTGGCAATAACGCAAAGGCATCGGTCGAGGGTCTTATGCATTTCAGTTGTTTAGAAGTGATGTAATCAAGTGTATTTAAACCATACATCAGCACTATAGTAAGCATGTGACCCAAAGTATATGAACTGTAGCACTGTACCACTGTCCTCCCATTGTTCATCCATTTGCTCAAGCAGGCACCAGTAACATCTCCATGGTGAGACTTGTTACCATTTTTGGCATATCAAATACGCCACGGGGAGCTTGCCAGGTTCTGTCATGCGGGTGGGATTCTCTTGGTAGCTTGCTGGGCTCTCCAAGAGGGATGGAGGAATTGAATCCAGGTCAGCCACTTAAGTATATGCACATTTAACAAAATAATTTGCTAAGGAGACAGGGAGGGTGAAGGGAATCCTCTGTCAATGCTGTAAGGACACTGATACTAGTGGTGGATTTGGAGTTGGAATATTGAATGTGCAAAATTCTTATTTAAAAGCTTTATAAATCGTGATGCCTAAATAAAAAATTTTAAAATAATTTTGACCTCCAGAATGCTAATCATGTTATTTTATAACAAGGAATAATTTTGTTAACAGGAATTGTATCTTAGATTTGAGAACAACTTCTGTTGGTTTTCAGGTTGGAGCAATAGCACAGCAGTAGGGCATTTGCCTTGCGTGCAGCTAGCCTGGCCCAGCCGGGTTCGAGTTCTCCACCCCTCTCAGAGAGCCTGGCAAGCTACCGAGAGTATTCAATATGCCAAACACAGTAACAAGAAGTCTCACAATGGAGACATTACTGGGCCCGCTCGAGCAAATCGATGAACAACGGGAGGACAGTGTTTGACAGGACTCCTCTGGGACCATGTATTGCTAGGGATTAAACCCAGACCTCATACATATGAAATATGTGCTCAGCCTATCTCTCCAGACCCAAGGATTTCTTTTGTTTCTTTAGTGAAACACCATGAGGTACAGTTATAGACTTATAAATTTTTGTGCTTGGGTTTCAGTTATACAATGATCAAGTACCCATCCCTCCACCAGTGCCCAACCTCCACCACCACGGGTCCCAGCATCCCTCCAACCCTCCATCCCCCTCGTCCTACCCTGCCTCTGTGGCAGGGCATTTCCCCTTGTTCTCTCTCTCTTCTTTTGGGTACTATGTTTTGCAAGAGAGGCCTTGAGTGGCAGTCATGTTTGGTCTATAGACTACTTTTAGCATGCTTCTCCCACCCTGGGAGGGTCTCACAACACCCTTTATTTGGTGCTCTCTTCTCTATCTGAGCTTCCTTTTCACCTAGCACATATGGCTGGCCTTCAAGTCATGGAGCAAAATTCCTGGTACTAATCTCAGCCATTCCTGGGTGTTAGTCTCCCATTTAGTTGCTTTATATTCCCCAGATGAATGCAATCTTTCTGTGTCTATTCCACTCTTTCTGACTCATTTCGCTTAACATGATACTTTCCATGTAGTACCACTTGTATGTAAATTTCATAACTTCATCTTTTCTAACAGTTACATAGTACTCCATTGTGTAATCTACATCACTAATCATCAGAGAGATGCAGATCAAAACAACAATGAGATATCATTTCACACCACAGAGACTGGCCCACATCCACAAGAACAAAAGCAACCGGTGCTGACATGGATGTGGTGAGAAAGGGACCCTCCTTCACTGCTGCTGGGAATGCCGGCTGGTCCAACCCTTTTGGAAAACAGTATGGACGATTCTCAAAAAATTAGAATTTGATCTCCCATTTGACCCAGCTATAGCACTCCTGGGAATATATCCCAGAGAGGCAAAAAGGTAAAGTCGAAGTGACATCTGCAATTGTTTGTTCATTGCAGCACTCTTTACAATAACCAGAATCTGGAAAAAACCTGAGTGCCCGAGAACAGATGACTGGTTAAAGAAACTTTGGTACATTTACACAATGGAGTACTATGTAGCTGTTAGAAAAGACCAATGATTTCTTTTTACTGAATCACTGTGAGATACAGTTACAAAGATGTTTATGATTGGGTTTCAGTCAATGTTCCAACACCCATCCCTTCACCAGTGGACATTTCCCACCACCAATTTCCCCATTTTCCCTCCTGCCCTGCCTCCCCCACAGCCTACCCTATGGCACTTTTCTTCTCTCTCAATCTCTCTCTCTCTTTCCCTTTAGGCACTATGGTTTGCAATACTGTTACTGAAAGATTGTCATGTACATCATTTTACCTCCTTGCAGCACTTAGTTCTTTTCCAGAGTGATCATTTCCAACTATCATTGTCATGGTGGTTCCTTTTCTGTCCTAACTGCACTCACCAGAACTTGCAGCAAGCTCCCTACTATAAACTAATCCTCCTGGCCTTCATTATTCTCATACTATTTTTTTAATATCCTGCTAATTAGTGCTCGAGCGGGCCCAGTAACGTCTCCATTGGAGACTTTTGTTGTTACTGTGTCTGGCATATCGAATACGTCACGGGGAGCTTGCCAGGCTCTGCTGTGCAGGCGAGATACTCTTGGTAGGTTGCCAGGCTCTCCGAGAGGGGCGGAGGAATCGAACTCGGGTCGGCCATGTTGGCTGCGTGCAAGGCCTACCCGCTGTGCTATTGCTCCAGCCCTATTTAGTGCAATCATTCTACATCAGTCCCTCTCCATTTGACTGATTTCACTCAGCATGACACTCTCCTTGTATAAGCAGCTTTCACAACTTCATTTTTCCAAGGATTATTCGTAGTGACACAGTAAAACCCATTTTATAATTCCCATAAGAAACTATATTCCAAGTAAAGGTATAGGGCTTAATTTTCCCACTTGAGAACCATCCCAGATTTTCTGAAACTTAAAGACAATTTGAAAGAGAAACAATACTTATTGTTTATATGATTTATATTTATTGATCAAAAGTACACACCAAAACAAAGATGATTAAATGATCAAAATATTGACAATTAAGTCCTATCAACCTGGTAAGAAAACACCAGCTATATCTAATGAATTTTAGTTGCTTTAAGTTCCTAAAGAAAATACAATATTCCGACACCATTAAAGTAATTATTAGAACCTTTCAAACAATAGGGGAAATACAAACATTATTAGAAGCACCTTAATTTTTATGCAAAGAAATTCAAAGTCTAACTGTGATGAAACTTGATGTTTCACAAAACACTGGTAGTGCCTTTTTTTCTTGGGTGCCTTATGTTACAAAGCACCATTACACCATTTGGCAGCTCTGATGATTGATGCCATCCAATCAGTGGTTGAAATTAAATTCACAATGTGACTCTGCCTATCAGCAAAACAAACTAATGTTTTAACTAGTCAATGCAAAGTATACAATGAAATCAGATAACCTTCAGAAGGGTCAACTTCCTAGCCTACTACATCAATATCAAACTCACAATGTCTTTCAAAAGCCCCACTTTGAGAAAAAGAGGAACACAGTATTGCTTCATTAATATTTTACTAGCTCTTCCAGTGTTTCAGAGTGATACGTGTTGTTAATGATCTAACACGAGTGATTCCAAAGATGGACGTTAGAATTATTGAATGACTGTCTTGATTAAATCAGACTATAGGTGTAGTTTTTGGTAGTTGGTCTTCCATGCAGGTGATCTTAAGAGTTCACATGGAGGGGAAAAGGATGTTAATTGTCCTAAAATTAAGGAAGAAGAAAGTTAATTCATTGTAACCACAAATATATCGATGTATCTGGCATTTGCTTAAACATACTATAATCTAATCTATTTCACTAATCATGTGTTCTAGTCAGTGGTTCAAATAAAACATGAAGGGTAGCCTATGGATGAATTCAGCAAGTAATGATTCTTATGCTTTATCATTCATTACTGAAGTTATTGAAACACATTATTTCCCAAAAATCTGGTTCCTGGTATGATCAGATGAGTTAATGGCTAATAATAATCTACCATTTTTAGACTACTGGCACTGTGGAAGTAAAAGACTAGATTACAGAAAATGCCAATATTTGGAACATAACAAAGTAAGGTCACTATTTGGATTCATTTCTCATCATTCTAGGTCCAAATTTGTGAGAAAAAGGAAACTTAGGCTCTTTAGACTAGCATATGTATGTATAAAGACAGACTATTGTCTTTTCAATCATGCCTGGAATTTGAAGATAACTTGCCAATGCAGGGCTCATATGGCATCAACAAGACATAAATATGCTACATACAGGTCTTGGTAAACAGAGTAAACACCAACCCTGACAGAATTGAGGACTGAAATGAATGTACCTTAAAGTTGGAGAGGGGTCGTCCTTGATATGCTGGTTACACTATCTCATATTGGTTATTTGTTATAGCACGAGAAAGGCAATAGGCTAGAAAGATTTCAATCAGCTAGAAACAGAACAAAAGCAAAATTAAACATGGGGGAAGTAGCATAAAGACCTCCTCTTTTACTTCTAATTCACATTCTTAAGTTCAACTTTGTTCCTAACACAATTTTAGCATCTTCACCACATAGGCATATACAACAATGTGGGATTGTATGATCTAAATGTTATTAGGGCAGAACTTACCTGTACTCCTAATCAGGTAATTGCAACCCAGGAAAGAAATCTACTAATTTTCGACTGCATATCAAAACAAGGTTCCCATCTATATGATGTTTTAGTTAATCAACAATGATGCTGGCAAGAAAAAAGGATTTAATTTCATCTGATCTCAGAAGCTAAACAGAGCCAGGCCTAGTTAGTACTCAGATGAGAGAAACCAGAATTTAAGAGGACACCAAATGTTTCCACAGTTTACTGCTTTTAGAAGAAACACTGTGTGCCTGCAACCTTATCGTAAACCACTTTGTATATCACAGTGTCTAAATAAAACATTTTTCAATTTTTTAAAACTCATGTATTCTTAAAATGTTTTGATTGACAATAATGGTTTCTCAAGGACATAATCCTAAGACCATACCCATCCCCAGTGTACCCTTCTCCTTTTCTAGAAAGATGGCATGTATTTCTACAACATAATTATAAATTTGGGTTTTTTGAGTTTCAAGGCATGATTAGCCACAGTAAAGAAAAAGATAGGGAAAAAGGTATTACAACATTTTGGGGCATTTTGTTTGTTTCGGGGCACACACACCCAGTGATGCTCAGGGATTACTCCTGGCAGTACTTGGGGGACCACATGGGGTGCTAGAGCTTGAACCTGGGTTGGCTGAGTGCCAGGTAAATGCTTTATCTGCCAGAGTATATCACTGCCTGGGAATTACAACTTTTTGAGAGCTCTGAAATTGTGGAAAATAGTATGGAGAAAAACAAGATCCGACACACTAAAAAAATGAAATACTATTATCCTGTGTGTATGTATACATATAAGGTATATAGGTCCTTTGTGTATAACAAATGATATTATAACACATATACTACAGCACAAAAAAATGAAATAAATGAAAGACAATCTCCCCTCCCAATAAAAACTAAAGACCCAATCACAAATGACTGACTACATATATGCTTCATACCAAAAGTTTCTATGCTGTGATAAGCAACCCAGTCTTGTGAGTATAATGACTTTTCTCTAAAAATGCCCCTGCTAGGCTGGAGAGATAGCACAGCGGGTAGGGCGTTTGCCTTGCATGTGGCTGACTCAGGTTCGGTTCCCAGAATCCCATATGGTCCCCTGAGCACTGCCAGAAGTAACTCCTGAGTGCAGAGCCAGGAGTAACCCCTGTGCATCGCCAGGTGTGACCCAAAAAGCAAAAATAAATAAATAAAAATAAAAATGCCCCTGCTATCCAGGTCCCTGAAATAAACTGAAAGTCTTATCAAACTGGCAATTTTCTAAGTTTATAACGTTTAAGGATGATAAACCCTTTCATAACTACAAAGACTTACCTGGAAGCAAGCAACACCAAAAGAAATTCCTGCAACAACTCCCATTTCTGACTCTATAATGGTCATTACCTTTAGAAAACAACCCTAAAGGAAGAATAAAAAAATAAGTACAGCAAAAGCAGTAATAATTTAAGATATCTCTGCAAAAGATGAGTCTCTGACAATAATTTTATTAAATTACATTTATCTTTCATGTAACAAACCATGTCTCCTTTCAAACTTAATATTTTCAATAGAAGTTTGGGAACACAGGGTTTCACTATGTAAATTACAAATTTCAAAGTTACTTGCTAGTTATATGAATTCAAGACACAAATTCTGAGCTTCAGTTTCCTCATCTACTATATAATAATGCACTTGACCTATGTTTTAAGTAAAAATTAAAAACAGTTAAATCTGATTTCAGTTAACATTTTCAAATATAAAAAATGCAAAAGGCTCTTTACTTCACTGTTAATTTTATCTACATCTTTTTGTGGAGAACAATCTTCCAGTTTACAGCAACTCTTAGGAAATCCTTTCTCTGAGTAATAATCAGTATCCTTCCAATCAGTATAGTTGGTGACACCGCAACAATGCAACTGAAAAAAAAATCAAGAGAATTTGCAGTTCATACTATAACTTTTATCAAACATTTAACATAGTATTATCAGAGACTGCAGTTTGCACTCATTTACTATAATCTAAATTTTTTAAGAGAGTACCCTCAATTGGCATAATTTTATTTTGGAGCTACACCCAGGGATCACTCTGGGCAGGGCTCAGGGGGCCATATGCAGTGCTAGGAATTAGACCCCGTCAACAGCATGCAAACAGGCACCCCTAACCACAGTTGCTCTGGCCCTCAACTGGCATAATTTAAGAGAATACTAACACCAAACATGTGTCACTATTGGGCTAGCCTTATTTTCCTGCTGTCATTGGCAGTTACAATGAAGAAAAGAGGTGCGCATATCACACCATACTTCTTCCCAGTCCCATTTCCTTTTTCTGCTACTCTAAGAGTGCATAGAATAACATAGCTAGATACCTAGTTGCCAGAATCCTACCCTCTTCTCTAAGGGGACAACCCTCTTCTCTAAGGGGACAGAGAATATGCTCTGCTTTAAAAAGCAACTTACCGTACTCTGGATCTTGTCTACTGCCTCACTTCTATAATCGCCTGTAGCATTATACTGTTTCAAAGCCTTTTCATAATTAATCTTAAAGTTGTTCTTAATCTGAAATAAACACAATGTCAATAAATAGTCTAGAAAGTTCTTTTAGTTTCTAGATCAAATAAGAGATCATCATATCTGATAAATGGTCATATTTCTTTTGTTTGTTTGTTTGTTTTTGCTTTTTGGGCCACACCTGGTGATACTCAGGGGTTACTACTAGCTCTGCATTCAGGAATTACTCCCCGCAATGCTGAAGGGACATATGGGATGCTGGGGATTGAACCTGGATCAGCCACATGCAAGGCAAGCGTTCTAGTTGCTGTACTATCTCTCCAGCCCATCAATGGTCATATTTCTGACAGCAGCAAATATAACTGACTCATATGGCCCCATACAATCTTCAAGAGATATAGTCTAGCTAAAGGGATGAGACCTTGACAATAAAGGATAAGTACCAACACAGCATAATCACTGCAATTAGAAAGTACTATGGGACTATATATTTGTTCAAGTGCATGAATACTTAGTCAAACATATTTCTGTAGCACTGTAGCACTGTCCTCCCGTTGCTCATAGATTTGCTTGAGCAGGCACCAGTAACGTCTCCATTGTGAGACTTGTTACTACTGTTTTTGGCATATCGAATACATCATAGGTAGCATGCCAGGCTTTGTTGTGCAGGCGGTATACTCTTGGTAGCTTGCCGGGCTCTCTGAGAAGGACGGAGGAATCGAACCCGGGTCGGCTGCGTGAAAGGCAAATGCCCTACCCACTGTGCTACTGCTCCAACCCAAACATATTTCTATCATTTTAAATTATACTACTGCCACTTTGTTGAAAATACAAGGAATTATGGACACCTTTAATATTCTGGTGAATAAGTATAATTTAGTGTATTTTCTTTGGTATAAAAATGGGCTATAGTTTCTATAATAAAGTCAGTATTGTGAGCTATAAATTGAAAAAGTAAGCCTCACATAGCTGTGAGGTTTTAAACTATAAAAAGTTGTCTTCAACTCTATTAAATTAATCCATTTTTCTTTCTCAGAATACATTTTAACATATTGAGCTTTCAAAGACAAAGTTACCTCATGTCTGAAAACAAATCCTACGATGGCAGCAACCAATTCGACCATAAAAATAAGAGTCAGAAACATCGCATACTGCAGGATGAAGAGAAAGTATAATTAGCATATAAGATACATTCAAAGCCGCAAAGGGTTGAGTCAAAAGGGGTGAAATGGTTTACTCAGTTTGGGATGTTTTATTGAAAAGGTCAGGAAAAACACAACAAAAGCCAATTGTCAGCCAAACTGCACTTGGTAAACTGTCAGAAGGAACAGGAAAAACTGTAAAGAGCAATCCCCAGTTCCAAGAAAAAGAGTACACAACATACAAGACTTTTCTGAAATCATGATTGAATTCAAAGGAAAACATGGACTCACCAGTTTCAGCATCCATGCGGAAGCTCGGCAGGTAGCAAAGCAACCAAAAGTGCCCAAAAGAATAATAACTGTGCCAGTGCCAATGAGCACGAAGGGGACATTGGTAGCCTTCTCATTTAAGAGGGAAAAATAATTTTCCAGGCTCAGCTTTCCCCAAATGCCAACAGCAAAAAGGATAACACCAGTGATCTATGTGGGAAATCAGAGGATAGACAGAGAATAGACATTTATACTATGCATACAGCAGCATCTTCAAACCACAAACCAATCTGGTGTCTAAGAAACAACGGGATTGAGGATTTAGCCTTCAGTGGCTGGAATATGGCAGACAAGGGAGGACAATAGAGACAAGGAAGTAGGGAATCTGAACACAAGGGTAGGCCTTGAGAACTCCACAAACTGGGTCACAGGGCAACCAGGGCAATAACTGGGACGGGGTGAGAGGGAGGGCCCGCTAAAAAAGGGTTCAACCAAATTCTTTTTGTTCCCCAACCAAATTCTTAATGTCATCAGTTTCTGTGTGTGAGCACAATCCCGTGGTTTATTTGCCCTCTAGGAAATCAAAACTTTCGGAAACTGTTTTATTCCCTCCTTAGGAGGCAAACCTTCCTGGAAAGGCGGGGGGGGGGGGGGGGGTGCTTCTTGGAGTTCCAACATCTTCCCCTCCAGCTTGGCGCTGAGCACAGGGACAAAGGGATGGTACACAAAAGCCAGCCCGAGACTGGTGGGAGGGGAGTCATTCCCGTACTTACCTACGAAATACTCCCCTCTCATGAAGCAGTGAAAAGAAAGAGACTATTATGCAAGTGAACCCTCTGAGAAGTAGTGCCAGCCTAGCCTCTCTCCAATGGTTGGGGCGGGGGGGGGGGGGTTGACATGAGTCTCTGCATGGTCTGGTGGGGTTAAACTGTCCCTTTCCCTCTCCCCGGAGTACACTGGAACGCAAGGCACATCTGGATTTCCGTCTATCATCAACTGCCTTCAACAGACCCCAGAGCCTGGCGCCGGCGAGCTGCCTTAGCTCAGGCCCTCACCCCTGCCCGCACTCCCATCCCTCAACTCGTTGCCTGCACAGGGGTCCCCGACAGCCGGAGCCGCAACTCCCCACCCTCGCTCAGCTCGGGGTCACCCCCCCCCCCAAATCCCACGCCCGGGACTCCCTCTCCAGTGCCCGGGGAGTCTTCTCTCACCCAAAAGATGAAAGTGTAGATCAAGAGGACGCTCTTGAAACAAGTAATGACCGGTTTGGTCTGCAGTCTCCGAGACGGGGACGCCATGACGAACCCCGGCCCCGGCCCCGCCGCCGCGGGGTGCTCACAACCGAGGGAGCGGAACGCGGAGGCCCCGAGTCTCCCCGGAAACTGCCGAAAACTTACGAGCGTCTATACAATCGAGTAGAGCCGGAAACACTGTGCAGTTCTCTCAAGGGGGTGAAGTCCGGGAGGTTGTTCCCAGAACGAGGAACAACTTCCCAGCGCCCTCTGCCGAAGGTTACCGAAAACTATATACAAAGGTTCTAGTGTCGGGAATTTCTTAGATCTAGCGAAGCGTCAGATATTTCCCCTTGAAAGAAACCCTTCCCCCCACCCCCCACCCCCCACCCCCCACCCCCGTCCCTCGCACGTGAAACAGTGATTCGATCACCAGCAGCGCCAGTTGCGCTTTGAGCTTCGGCCTCGCTTGTCCCTGGTGCCCTAGAGGAAAGGAATAAAAAAAAAATAAAAGTGATCTAAGAAAGCGGCAAAATACCAGCGAATATATTTCCAAAGAGAAAGTAGATCTCAAAACGATACTTACGGTCGTGGTTTTGAACAAAAATCGAAAGGAGAAGTGACATTTACCAATCAGGCTGGTTTTTCTCACTTGTTCGGTGTTTTCCAGTTTTTAAACCTTGTGTTTTTTTCCGGTGAGGAAGGGGCCTAAGAATTCATGACTCCCTGAGTCAGTAGTAAATGGTAATGTGGAATTTTTCAATGCAGCTCTTTTTCTAACAGTGTGACAAAACACTGAGACGATTTTTTGTATGAACTTAACTTCAGGAATGCTTAGAAGACTCCGGGTAGAGCCAAAGCGATAGTACTGGTGCAAGGTAATTTGCTTCCACGCAACCCCATAGGATTTGATCACAGAACTGCATACAGTACCCTGAGCACCGCCAGGGGTCACTCCTGAGCACAGAGCCAGGAATAGCCGCTGAGCACTAGGGTGCGGCCACAAAACAAAATAGAAGACTTCAGAAACTTAGAAGGCCTAGAAAACTTAGAAATCATATGAATCAAAAGAATTTTTCAATGTATTTAAAGCTATTTGATACACTAACAAAATGGGAGTATAAACTACAAATAATATAATGGCTAGTCCTAAATTTCATATTGAAAGAAGAGAGGAGAATTGAGTCTGGACGTTATAGATGTCCACTTTTTCCAGCATTCTTGCACCTTTTTAGTCCAAGTTTGACCAAACTATGGGGCCAGAGAGATAGTACATTGGGTAGGGCGCTTGCATTGTACTCCACTGACCCAGGATGGATCACCCAACATTCCATAGGGTGCCCAGAGGCACCAGTGATTCTTAAGCCCAGAGCCAGGTGTAACCTGAGTACCACTGGGTATGGCCCACAAATAAAAAAAAAGAGTGATCAATTATTATACTCAAAAATAGGTGATTTACTTCTCACAGGAATTCAAGGATACTGAAAAAAGATTCTTTTTCATCTAATTAGGTTCAAAACACATTTACAAAGTGACACATATACAAACGATTTAATGAAGTTATACAAGCATTTTAATCAGAACATTAGCATTAGTTCAATTCCTAGCTTTCATCATTCTTGAACTTCAACTTTTGGTTACAGTGTAACCAAAAATGAAAGAAAGATAAGTAGGTTATCAGACTCAATTTCCAATTTAACCCTTCTTGGCTACCTCCATAAAAATATGTTTTAGGGGCTGGAGTGATAGCACAGCAGGTAAGGCGTTTGCCTTGCACGTGGCCGACCGGGGTTCGATTCTCAGCATCCCATGTGGTCCCTGAGCACCGCAAGGACCTCATGGATTCCAGAGTGCATGAGCCAGGAGTAACCCCTGTGCATAGCCGGGTGTGACCCAACAAGCAAAAATACATACATATATATTAATATATTTTTATAGTGCCAGAGTGACAGTACAGCGGGTAGGGCATTTGCCTTGCACACGGCCAACCTGGGTTCGATCCCCAGCATCCCATATGGTCCCCCAAGCACTGCCAGGAGTGATTCTTGAGTGTAGAGCCAGGAGAAACCCCTGAGGATTGCTGGGTAGGACCCAAAAAGAATATATATATATATATATATATGTGTGTGTGTGTGTGTGTGTGTGTGTGTAGATATTCACCTATTCTTTCAAGTATCAAAGTTTTTCCTTTTGATTCTATTACATGCAAGAAACTCCATGTTTCAAAGGTATGTACCATGAAGAATTTGTTTTAGTGACAGTATGATTTAAGAACTGGTTTCTATGGAATGAGTTTTATTCCTTAGAGAAAAAAGATTAAAAGACTTCCAGTTTCTTATCCAGCCCATTGCATCATCATTGACACCAGCCTTTAATCACAATTGGTCTAAGTCCTAAATCAGTAGAGGAAAGGTGGATGACTAAACTTTCTGCTTGAAACTTTGCTTTTAAATATGTGCCACAGAACCAGAAAACAGGAAAGTTCCATTGACTTGGTCACACAGAGCTTCTCTGTGCTTTGAATACTGACTTAAAGATCTACTTCTGTACCATCATGCTAGATGTCTGGGATCTAATAGAATCACTGCCACTGTCCTCCCGTTGTTCGTTGATTTGCTCGTGAGGGTCCAGTAACACTGTGAGTCTTGTTACTGTGTTTGGCATATTGAATATGTCACAGGTAGCTTGCCAGGCTTTGCCGGGCGGGCAAGATACTCTTGGTAGCTTGCCGGGCTCTCCAAGAGGGGCAGAGGAATCAAACTTGGGCCGGCCATGTCAGCCATGTGCAAGGCAAATGCCCTACCCACTGTGCTATCGCTCCAGCCCATCTAATAGAATAATTGGAGAAAATATGCACTACTAAGCTTGGTACTGAAAGAAAAGTCCAACACATATACATGGGACTATTGGATAAGTGACAGAACTGAAAACATTGAGGCAAGTTTAAGAAATCTAGCAGACATCAATGTTTAAAGTCCCAGTTATGCCCAAGTGATGGGAAATGAAGTTGCGTAGTCTTTCACATATGCAATGATTTTTCTCCCAGGGCAAAAGAACTAAGGGGGAATTTATATTAAGACAAGTCCAAGTGAAGTATTTGTTAACTCCATGTCATCTTAAATGGAAGTTTCCTCTGAAGGTTTGGTTTGTACCATGTCCTGAAAGGGATTTTTGTTGTGAGCCACAGTGCAAAGAAATATTTTTGTGGCTGAAGTAAAAGCAAAATAGTCTAGGCAAACAACACTTATTTCCAAGAATGTGTTGATTTTTGTTCTGCGCTCTTCCTCTGCCACTCATAACACTGCTTGGTTTGAATAATGGAGCCAAATTAAACCAAAAACTGACATAAAATTTAATACTCTTTTTATTTGAAATTTAATATTCTTATAGAAAACAACACCTTCTGCCACTGCCTCCCAAATTGTTATGTTTCCCTAGCCCCACCATCATGCCAATAAACCCAGAAGCTCAACTTAAGCTTAGGCCTGGGACTGGGTCCAACTACACAGCAATGAGGCATCTAATCCTAGTAAAGATGGTGTAAAAGTAATTCTCTAGATCTTAACATAAATTTACTCACTAAAGTGATAATGACTATAAGGTGGATCATACACTATGTACTAATCATCATTGCTCATTAACTATATAGCAACCACCATTGCTAAGTGTAGTCATCACTAATTACTTCAATGCATACATCACAAAAACCCTTATTGTGAGGTAGCGCCTATGATTGCTATCAATTTACAGATAAGAAAACAGGGGCAAAGAGGTTAAGTAACCTGACTAAAAGTAAGTCCTAACAAATGCTATTTTCCTCATTGGAAAGACACCTCACTCTGTCAAAAGACACAGTTGCCATATAAACAGCTCTCTCAGCTGAGAATAATCTGAAAAAAAATTGGACTATTCTCAGATATTTAGCCAGAACAAGGTCTCTTTGGCATCTATGAAGCAATTGAATTCCTCAGTTGTGCTTAGTAAAGGGTTTTTTTTTTTTTTGCCTTTATTTCAACGGCCTAATCACGTAACCCCGCTAGTTCCAGAAGGAAAGGTATAGAATACTTTTCCTATTTCACTTCCTTTCTTATTTTTCCCTTTTTCAGATTATAATTACAGATTATAATTTTCCACACTTCTGACTACCACAAATGTATACTGCTGTAGCCTGTTTCAACATTCAAAATTTAGTACATTTTCATTTCTTCCTTATTAACTTACTGTAAGCTTCAAAAATCATATTTAGATTTTTTCTTTAGAATTTAAACACTGTTCTCTGGAAATATACCCTGTTTATTTCCTATTGCATTTACAACATGAATTTTCTGTTTCATAATAGGCTACTATGCTAATCTTTCCAATAAGCAAGATCTGTTTCATATTCTCCCTCCTCACTCCTAAACCTCACTCAAAATTATTTCCCACAACTATGTAAGATTCATCTTAACCCACACAGCTCCCTCTCCTCCCTGATTCCCACACCCTGCACCCTATACCAATGCTCATAGTCTGAGCACTCATGTTAACCCTCAATTACTATGTTGCCTGTTACCTGCTTTCTTCTCTACTTACCTGTCCTATGTCCTGCCATCTAGATTATCAGAAACTACTGAAAAGCCAGTTTGGTAGGACCCCCCTGCACTCTGTTTTATACTAGCCTAACAGTTTAGGACACAGTGGTCAAGTGATAACCACATTTGGCGCTTATCCAATCCCTGTTGATATCCTTGGTTTATTGCTAAGGATAGCCACTAGGTAGTGAATTAAGTTAAATAATACATGTTGAAGCCACCCAGTATCACCCTTTTAAATAAACAGAAATATATAGGTGACCTGCTGGTTAATTTCTTAGACCATTACTATTCACTGTTTTAGAAATAAATCAGTACAAAAACAGCAACCAGAGATATTGGTGAAGGGAATAACACACTGATGGTGGGACTGGTGTTGGAACACTGAATGCCTGAAACAACTTTATTATGAGCAACTTTGTAAATCACAGTATTTAAATAAAGTTTCAAAAATATATTTGGAGCAAAGGAGAGCACAAAGAACAAGAACATATGTTTTGCCTTAGGTAGTCCTGGATTCAATCCCTAGCATCATGCATCACCTGATCCTCCAAAGACAATCAGGAACAACTTCACAGCGTTGACCAAGGAATGGGTACTGGAATTCCTCAGGTGTGGGCCAAAAAATGAAA